TAATTTTGTGCCACGATAATGGAATAATTTTCCTCGGGGAAAAAACACCGAAAATTCATACGAAAAACTTGTTACATACCCATGACAACCCTGTGGGACAGAACTAAAAAAAGGAATAAGACAGCCATGAGCATGCACTACGTACACGAAATTTCTGCCGCAACGACATTCTATGCGTCAAGATTAAATAATTTGTAAGCTAACCCATTCGGCCAACAACGTCTGGTCGAGGTTGAGAGAGGGTTTCACTTTTCATGTTGCCACGACTGTGTGTAAAAGGGGATACCTTGTTGCCGCAATGTGGTAATGAAATAACGCCGATCTTATAATGTGTCCCGTTGTGCAAGCGTTCAATTGTCAAAGTTTGGGCATTACCTCCCTTTTTTTAGCCTTCAAGCGCTCTAATATTGAATAGAGCTCGAGAGTACTCTAATGAGTATTGTTATTCCACGGAAATGTCCTTCTGAGGTTCTACCTTCCTTAACTGGATCAAAATTGAAATTTTGTATTCGAACAGCGCAATTCATTCCGTCCAGCGAGGGAGTTACGGGCTTGACATCAAGCCCGTATCAAGCTTTGATATCTTGACAGCTATCAAAGCCCGAGACATTTGGTGAGCTGAGAAGTGAGGTAGGTAAAATTACCATGTGTCTTCGGACCCTCTGGCCTGGAGTACCTGGAGACACCTTAAGCATCACATTCAGCCTGGCCTAGTCTCACATGTCGTCATGGGGTCGAATCTTCCTTTCTCATTATCTGTTCCCTGAGAAAAAGTAAGCAAAAACCTATATAAAACTTGTGTTAATGCCGATAGCCGATATGATAATATTCCCACGGGTGATGAGAACGACGAACACTTCTCAGTACAACTTAGAAGTCTGAGCATTGATGAGAATTCAAGCGCAGAAAAATGGTGCCGTACGGTAGCAGTTACCTTGACTGAACAGAGATTGCGTCAGTGCATTCTCATCTCAGATTGACGGCAGCAGGATCAAATGTCAACAGTTTTGCGATATAAAAACGAATACTAACTGAGAAAGTTCAGGCCTTTCGAATGATGTATCACCCAGAAATTTGGGTTCAAAATGAACATGAAAGGCCATCCTGGTCAGGGCAAAGGTCAACTCTAAAAAAAAAATTAAAATGAGTTGGACCATCTGCAGGAAATTACAAATCGAATGAGGTATCAATTGTGGAAATCGTTTGAGAAACCTAGGAGGAGTTCACCGGACAAAATCCGGTCATACAGTCATTTGCCGCTCGTTACGTATATAGTTGGTTGTTCGTGTATCATAAACTTGTATCTACAGTCTTCCCTGGTTTCAAATGAAGCGTTAAAACTCCTATTTCATGAATTCTTCAGAGTAACGTCACTTTACTCCCGGATGCATGACGTCAGGGAAAAATAATGAAATTGGTTGTTATATTCTATTAAAACCTTGGAATTTATTTAAATATTTTTTCTGGTCAATCTCAAAGGATGAAAGAATGCTCTAATTGAGATGACGCTTGACCTCCGGAGTGTGGTGCACTAGCTGACTCATTCCAAACCAGTCGCCTAATGCACCAAAAATATCCGGCCGGGTATTCCAGGTTAAAACAAAACATGAAATTGAGCCTCACTTACAAAACTTACAAAACTTATAAAGCTTACTTACAAAACGTTCTTCTTTAAACAATACTCCCAAAGTGAATGTCGTCCTTTCTTTCAAATTCTCTTCGGGGTATTAAGGAAACTGATGATTTCTCCAGGTAAGTCACCGTTTGGAACTTGCAATTGATGTGGTATCGTTTCTATGAATGGTATTCGTTTGATGGAATAGAAAACCTTTCAAGAGGAAAAAGTAAACTTTGAAAAATCTAATTAAGCAGTGCTCATACTTCCGCCGCGTTGGTAGGTCATATTTCTCCTGTTCTCCCTATAGCAACACAGAGCAAGGTATGGATATAATGAAGGTTCCGGGTATAATGAAGACAATTTAATCTTCAGTCGTCGAGCTCTTTAGAGCATCTTGTTAGCATCACAAAACCTTGCTAAGTTTGGGATAGTTACGTTCGATGCGAAAAAGTTATGACTCCTTCCGGATGAATTCATTGAAGTCCGACCGATTCGGAAGACTGTCACTGTGAGTGGCGAAGGAACTAACACAAGAGGACGGTGCTCCAACAAAAAATAATTTAATTTTTTTAGATGGCGCTATAGTGCATCGCAAACAACTAAAAGGCAAATTTTCCACATATTTGAGTCACAATATTTATTATGGTTGGTCTTCCTCCGGAAACCAGAGTGGCTACCCAGGGGGGGGGAGAGAGGGAAAAGCCAAAACAAACTATTAAGAAACGGAATGAAATATTCGATTTTCCAAAGACCAGATTCCGTGTTCACCACAACCACGAGGAGAAGAAGCTTCAAGTTTGTTGGAGTTGTGTTGGAGAGAGGAAGAAACGTGACTAATATCGTTTCTGTTGATGCTCTCAGAGAATACGAAAAGGTTGAATTTTGCTGTGGGAGGGGGTTGAAGAAAGGTAATAGGCGCTAACGCGCCTACTGATGTGTGAAGCAGGTTGACAACTGTTGATTGTTCTGTATCAACGTGGAGGTACCATATTTTCGAATAATCAGGTAATAGTGATATGCTAGAGCTGGAATTTGGAAATGAATTAGCATGAGTTCGCACATATTTCACATTAGCATGACGTGCTCTAAAATTAATCCATGGACACTTACATTCTCATTTTGTGTTGAATGTGCATAAGTATCCTTCCATTCCAACAGGGAAGCTTGTCACACATACTTGGGTCAACTTCGGACGGATAGGACTTCAAAGACGGACTTCAAAGGATACTCAATATCACGGGCCTGTTTCAGCCGTCCTCCGATTGCCAATGATATCATGAATACATTATTGACCGTCCTATTCATTTCCTATCCCTCATTTGTGTCTGCGAAAATGGAGCATGCATGCCCCACCACAGACATATCACCTTGCACGTGCACCGAATATACGGATGGCGATGTCAAAGTGGATTGTTCGGGAGCCATCTCTGTTGCTGAGATTTCCTCAGCTCTGGCGAAGGCCTCTTGGCCCTCCACTCAACTCTGGTGAGCAAGAACTCTCCTTTCTTCTATTTTCTTCACTCCCTCTACCCAAAACTCTGGTCACTGAGAGAGCCTCGCACCAAGGCGACGGCTTGGTCCCTAGTGTGTGTTTTGCAGGTGGCGAATTTTCCTGAATCTTTTTTGATCCACTTAAAGTTAGAACTGAAATGAGTTCAAACTTGAATCAGAAGTTCCTGTTTTATTGCTGACTGCAAATCCGGCTTTTCAAATATGTCCCATCAGAGCAGATTATAAAGCGATTTGAAGTTAGGCACACAAGAAATAATCGGAGTAATTATTTCGATATAAATATCGGTTCGTCCTTTCATGGCACACATCCCGACAGCCAAATACTTCTAATACGTTTTTCACACTTCAAAGGTGAAATAATGAATCGCTAGCCTGGACAATGAGTGCTGACGGTGCTAGTACAATATACGACCGAAGGCGAGAGGAAACATTTGTACATCCATTGATGAATATAGTAGCATATTATATTGCTATATACTATAATTAGCACGTTACAGGGGTAGATCAACTCCTGTATTGTTCTATGCCTCCTGTCTAACCATGGGTCAGACTCTTGCTTGAGCAGGAGGTTATGCCAGTACCAGTGCTCAAATAGGAATTTCTCCAACATCGTAGGTTACGGGAAGCCGCAGAGAAGCGGGCATATATGGAGCGCCACATGCATACACCACATTTGTGCCATGCTACCACGTGCGGACAGACCAGCAAGGTTATTTTTGTCAATAACCTGCCCCACACATATGCCACACCAGGCCCACCAATGAGGATGCCACAGAAAACTTGGACAGAATACGGCTTTTATGTGATAGGGATGCACCAATATCTCAAGGGTTAAAGAGGCAAGCCGCCAAATGATCACGAAAGTGCAATTATCATGCAGTATGTCGAATGGAAATGAACGATTTTTCTAATAATGAACGCAAATAAGGAAATCCCGAAAAAGACGGAAAATCACTTCCTCCAGCGGAACACCGATTCCGACTTTGAACTGGAATTTTTTGGATGAGGTGAGAGAAGCTCCTTTACATGCTTCACTCTGTGTTCCTTTCCAATTCTTTTTTTGGTATTGGCATGTTTACGTGAAAAAAAATTGGGGGCATGGTTTCCAACATTAATCTGAATCCCCTTTCCCGCGCATAGGAAACACTGTTTCCTTTGCTTTTGTCAGAATTTAGGAATTTATTTTTTTTCCTATGTAGGGAAATACTTGCCAAATATCATTTGAAAAGCTAAGGTCTGCTTCTCAAAGAAGCATCATGTCATATTTGTGGGGTTTTAGGGGCAAGTGGACTCTACCATTTGGGTCAGAAAATGAACGTGTCAAATGACTTTCCTTCAAGTCCAATAAAAAAAACGGTTCCACAGAGCTTCCACAAGTTGTCAATCTTACAAGATGGGCAATATCAAAAATATTTTTCGGACATCTTTCTAAAAAAAACCTTTTTCATAGCAAACAATAAAAAAGAAAGATACCTTGAATATATGATTAATCGTACTTAAAATGGTCTTTCTCCATGCAGGAAACTCGTAATTCAATTCCCAGAAGTGGAACTCCCCATAATGGAAATTCCCGAAGGATTCTACGGAAATCTTTCCTTCCAGCGGATATTCATAACCAATACTCCAATGAAGAGGGTCGATCCATCAGACATACTTCCTGTGAAGCACGTCCTCAAATATCTCGCTTTTCTCCATAGTCGTCTGGAAAACTTTCCTTTTAATATACTTCATGAATTCCAATACCTGAAAGAACTCCAGCTCAACAACAATTTCTTGACCTTTGTACCCGCCTTCAAGAGCGAAAACTTAGAGATACTCGGTCTCAAAAGCAATAAGATCGCAAGTGTAGAGTTCGACGGTTGGGCGACTCCCAAATTGAAAAGACTCCATCTTGATGATAATTCCTTGGAATCTGTCCCGGACTTCAAGAGCGACAGCCTTGAGAGACTCGACCTCGATAGCAATAAGATCACGAGTGTGGAGTTCAACGGATGGGCGACTCCCAATTTGAGGGAACTCCACCTAGATAACAATTCCCTGACCTCTGTACCGGCGTTGAAGAGCGACAGCTTACAGATACTCAGTCTCAATGACAATTATATCACTAGTGTGGAGTTCAACGGGTGGGCGACTCCCAAATTGAGAGAGCTCTACATTTCCAACAATTTCTTGACAACTGTCCTGGCCTTCAAAAGCGACAACCTGGAGGTATTCAGTCTCAATAACAATAAAATCGAGAGTTTCCTGTTCAATGGAGGGGCGACTCCCAAACTGAGAGAACTCAACCTATCAAATAATATGTTGACCTCTGTCCCAGTATTCAAGAGCGAAAGTCTACAGATGCTCAGTCTCAAAGACAATAAGGTAATGAGTGTAGAGTTCGACGGATGGGAGACTCCTACATTACGAGAACTGTATCTAGATAAAAATTCCGTGACCTCTGTCCCGGCCATCAAGAGCGAAAGACTAGAGATACTCAGTCTCAAAGACAATAAGATAATGAGTGTGGAGTTCAATGGATGGGCGACTCCCAATTTGAGAGAACTCTACCTATGCAACAACTTGTTGACCACCGTCCCAGTATTCAAGTGCGAAAGCCTAGAGATACTTAGTCTCCATGACAATAAGATCACGAGTGTGAATTTCGACGACTGGGCGACTCCCAAATTGAGAGAACATTACCTCCACAATAATTTGTTGACCACTGTCCCGCCCTTCAAGAGCGACAGCCTGGAGTTACTCAGCCTTAAAGAAAATAAGATCACAAGGGTGGAGTTCGAGAAATGGGCGACTCCTAAATTGATACTGTTAGAACTACAAAACAATTTGCTGACAACTGTCCCCGCCTTCGAGAGTGAAAGCCTGCAAATACTTGGCCTCAATGACAACAACATCACGAGTGTGGAGTTCGACAGATGGGCGACTCCCAGATTGAGAGAACTCCACCTTTACAACAACTTGTTGACCACCGTACCGGTTTTCAAAAGCGACAGCCTGGAGATACTTGGACTTGATAACAATAAGATCACAAGTGTGGAATTCAACGGATGGGTAACTCCTAAATTGAGAGAACTCTACATTTCCAACAATATGTTGACCACCGTCCAAGTATTCAAGGGCGGGAGCCTGGAGATACTCGATCTCAAAGACAATGAGTTAATAAGTGTAGAGTTCGACGGATGGGCGACTCCTAAATTGAGAGAACTCTATCTAGATAACAATTCCGTCACCTCTGTCCCGGCCATCAAGAGCGACAGCCTGGAGGTACTCGGTCTCAATTACAATAAGATCAATAGAGTGGATTTCAATGGATGGGTGACTCCTAAATTGAGAGAACTCTACCTCTCAAACAATTTGTTGACCTCTGTCACGGCATTGAAGAGCGACAGCCTGGAGGTACTCGGTCTCAAATACAATAAGATCAAGAGTGTGGAGTTTAACGGATGGGTGACTCCTAAATTGAGAGAACTCTACCTCTCAAACAATATGTTGTCCACTGTCACGGCATTCAGTTGCGCCAAGTTGGAGATACTCAGTCTAAATGACAACAATATCACGAGTATAAAGTTTGACGGATGGGCAACTCCCACTTTGAAGAAACTCTATCTCAATAACAATTCTTTGACCTCTGCCCCCTTCTCTATGAGCGACAACCTGGAGATACTCAGTTTAAGAGATAATGAGATCACGAGCGTGGAGTTCAACAAATGGCCGACCTCCAAATTGAAAGAACTCTACCTCTCTAACAATTTCTTGACCTTTGTCCCAGCCATCAAGAGCGACAGGTTGGAGATTCTCAGTCTTAGAGGCAATAAGATAACGAATGCTGAGTTAGACGGATGGGCGACTCCTAAGTTAGTATGGCTCGAACTACAAAACAATTTGTTAACCTCTTTGCCGGGCTTTAAGAGCGACACCTTGGAGATACTCAGTCTCCATGATAATAACATCACGAGTATGGAGTACGACGGATGGGCGACTCCTAAATTGAAAGAACTTTACCTCTCGAACAATTTGTTCACCTCTATACCGACCTTCAAGAGCGACAGCCTGGAGATTCTTGACTTTCATGACAATAAGATCACCAGTGTTGAGTTTGACGAGTGGGCGACTCCGAAATTGAGAGAGCTTAATATTTCCAACAATTTGTTGACCTCTTTCCCGGGTTTCAAGAGTGGCAAGCTGGAGATACTTGGTCTTAATGGCAATAAGATCACGAGTGTTGAGTTTGACGAGATGTCGACTCCCAAATTGAGAGAACTTTATATTTCCAACAATTTGCTGTCCTCTCTCCCGGTCTTCAAAAGCGAGCAGATGGAGATCCTCGGTCTTGATGACAATAACATCACGAGTGTGGAGTTCGAGAAATGGGCTACTCCCGCTTTGAAAAAACTCTATCTCAACCACAATTCTTTGACCTCTGTCCCCGTCACTAAGAGCGACAGCGTGGAGTTACTAAGTCTTAGGGACAATAAGATCAAGAGTGTGGAGTTCCACGGATGGGCGACGTCCAAATTGAGAGAACTCTATCTAGGTAACAATTATTTGACTTCAGTTCCGGCCTTGAAGAGCGACAGCCTGGAGAGACTCGACTTCGATAACAATCAGATCACCAATGTGGAGTTCAATGGATGGGCGACCCCCAAATTGAGGAAATTCGCCATTGGTGAGTATTAGCTATGGTATTATGTTGGTAGACCCACAACTGTGCCTGCTTTTTTTTCAATACTCTCTTTTTTATTATTAAAGTAACACTAGCACCCGTCCTTTTTCGAGCGCACTTTTCCTAGGAGAGCCTCCATGATTTTGCTATATCGGAAAATGTTGTAACACCCTGGCATAATAGAGAGAATATGATATATTTTCTTGCCTTAACCCCCACCCTTTTTTTTCTGCATACGATTTTTCACAAAGCGCGCGATGTCATGAAAAGATTGTCTGCTGTTCTCCTTTGTGGCACTACTCTGTATTTATTTATTTTTTGCATCGACGTGAAGTGCAAAGAAACAAATTTTTTTCGCCTCATTTTCTGGAAAGTAGTCAAAAGTAAGACAGAGAGAAGCAGTTTTCACTGCGGAAGTTTGTCAGAAAAAAACAAAGGTTGGCCTTCATCATTTATTGATTGGGTAAGGGCTGGGATTTTAAAGCATTAGAACAGGAAGGGTATCTTCCTTTGAATATAGCATTGAAATCAATATGGTACAAATCCTCTTGACCTAAATGAGTAGGATATATTGGGGTTAGCCGGAAAGTTCCTGCAGTTTCAGACAATATTTGATAGAAGCTATTTTATTCGGCAACTATACAATGTCAGTCAACAATGTAAGCACCATTGTGTTCCACTACATGTCTCCACCTTCCAGCCAGGGAATGGATTCCGCCGTGGTAGAACGATGGGGGCTGAGACTCAAAGAACTGTCGCAAGTAGCATTCGAGGTCTTTCTGGTCGTCGAACTTTTTCTCTTTTGGCGGTTCTGCAGGGCGCGGAAAAGGTATTAGTCCGACGAAGCAATGTCCGGGGAGTACGGTATGTGCGGCAGAATCTCCCATTCGAAGGCGATGAGTTTGAGCCGGGTCATCATTGCGATATGCGGGCCGGGCATCGTCGTGGAGGAACAGCACTTTGTCACGTTCCGGCCGTGCCGTGGAGAGTTTCCGTCTCAATATCTCTTGTTGGTCGCAGTAAAAGGTCGTCGTGATGGTGGTGTCGGGAGGAAGCAGCGCGAACATCACGACACCTTTCACGTCCCACTATACGGAGAGCATCACCTTGCAGAGGTGCAGGTCACCTTTCGACTCCGGCTGCGGCTCTTCATCGGCGTCTACCCAATAACGCTTGCGGGTATGGTTCTCGTACATCACCCACTTCTCTTACCCGGTGACAACGTCGTCGAGTCAGTCGAAGCCCCGTCGGCGGGAGAGGAGAAGTCCAAAGGTGTCGGAACGCTGGTCGAGGTCCTTCTGTGTCAAAGCATGGGGTATCGAATTCCCGAGCTTCGAGACCTTCCCGATCGTGGACAGGCGGTGTTCGATGGTAGGGTGGGAGCACCTAAGGACGGCGGCCATGTCGCGAGTGGTCATGTGGGGATCGGCTTCCACGAGTTGTAGTAGCACCACTCCGACGTGAGTCCCGACCTCGGCTTGTCTTCGACACTATAGTTTCCGGATTTGAAGCGAGCGAACCGATTGAAGCACGTCTTTTCGCTGATGACTCCTTCCCCAAACGCTTGGAACAGACGGTTCCCTTTCAAATCAGGCAGGTTCATGGTTTTCGTGGCAGGTAATATTCTTGGATTAAAAAATATACAGTATATTTGATCAAATGATGAAAATTGGTAGCTTATTTATCTCTGTATGTGCAATAGTTTCGGAGAAAAAAATCACATGTGCAGGGCTCTAAAAATGACCACTTTTGAAATTCCTGTTTCCCCCACTTTCAATTTGCTGTATCTCCTGATGTGCATAGATTACTGAAAATAATATATCGCTTACTTGAATGTACACATTGCGTGAACATTTGAGAAAAACCTAAGTTATGATTTTATAAATACGTAATTTTTAATTTAAAATATCGACTAAACTGCTGAATTTGCTGGTTTTGCTGAATTTTTCCGCCAGTTGAATTTGTATCGTATCTTGAATCAACTATATTTTCATGAACTACATACATTCGTGCATCTCTTGTTGTTATTTGGTATTTATATCATTAATGCTTAATTTGATATTAATTTGCACCTTCAGACATTTTCCGAAAAATGAGTGAAAAAGAAAAGTTTTTTCTCAAAAATCCCATCTTTGATTTTCTTCATTTCTTCCACATTGAAGGCATCGGTTATAATTAGGTATAAACATTTCTTCCTAAATTTCTCTCTCTCTCTCGCTCTCTCTCTTTGTCAATAATCTCTCTTTGATTAAAAGCCTTGGGAAGTGGTAGAACCCTTCGGGCACGAAACTCCACACCAGGGGAAGCCTCTTACTGGCAAACATTGGTCCTGCGGGTAGTGACATGGGCACCGTCATGTCTGCATGCACAGAACGCTATGCGCTTGGTTCCTCCAGGAACCAAAGGTGTGAACCTTATTCAACTAATGGACTGTGCAGGAGCGGTGCATGCAGGACGGACTTAAGCTGTGGAAGCTTTCTGTTACATCTGTTGCGGCAGCCACTATCTTCTTTAATGATTATTCCCTGGTGTGGAGATGTCGAAAAGGGTTTTACTGAACTGCAAGTTGTTTGGTAGGATCTTGCCCCTGACGAGACTCCTTCGACTTGCCAGTCCATTAGGCCTCCTTAGCTAGCCTCGCCTTTTTAAAATTCTCTTCTCATTTTCTCGCAATAGTTATGGCTCTTGCTGGCCGTAAGGTTTGGCTTGATCAGCGTGATTTTCTCACTAATATATATATATATAGGAGGCAGGTGCGGAGGTAGTCATGGTCAAGGTCGAACTTCATGCTCATACTTGGCGGTAAGAGATAGAAAATGCATTGAACCTGCACACAATAAGGGAGATTATTTATAGGCGAAGCGGGAAAAACAGAAAATTCTTGAGGCTTCCTAATGAAAAAAGCGAAAACTGCAAGAACTATCAGGGAAGCCAAATATTTAAATATTCCATGAAACACCACCAATTTGGTGGTGCTTCGCACTATGCACATGTGCTTCGCATTAAACTTTCCTCTGTTCGGAGCCATCCACTTGGTAAATATACAGTGAAAAGTAAATTATTATTTGAAGCTTGCCTTAAAAGACAGCATTCACTTCCATTACATCTATAAACTATATTTCAAGTGAGAATTTAGCATCCCTTTAGCATATTTGTTAGCAACGCTTGAAAATAGATTTAGTGCGGTCCATGACTCCACTCTCCGTTCAGGAGAATGGATCATGCATGGGCATTCATCTCTACAAATGTTCCTTTTGTCTCCCTTTCTCATCGATCCTTTATTTTATGAGACACGTAGTTGAATCTCAGAGAACATAACGTTGCGTTTTCTAGTCAGGCCTATGCAAACAGTGATGCTCTGCTCAAAACACATGAAATATATATATCCGCCATCATGCCTTCCAGCATTTTTTGTCTGATTTTTGGGAGGCAAACCGGAGAAGGATTAAGGCTATAAATATTCCTATTATGCTTAGAACGTTTTCCTGTATTACCTCGTCCTCTACAGAGTAAGCGAAATATGTTTCCGCTCCGAAAATGCGATAAACCCCAATCTGGAAAGAACTGGTTGCATTTTATGGAATAAATGAGCGGTGTCAAAGGCCTTTTTTGGCTTTATCCACGGGTGAGTTGTCGAAGCAAAGAATAGAATAGGATGGGTAGATTTCAGTCTCATCTAGGGGATATTAATGCTTAATTTGAGAAGTAAGGATTCAAAAGAAGTTTGAAAGGAGAAAAGAGCGGAGGTTTATTCTGCAAAGTACCCTACAAGAGGTATTTTTTGTGAGCACCAGAATGTGTATTTGCCAGGATGCCACCGATTCAGCGAGTATCCCCCACAATCACTATCGAGGTTGAAGAAACAATTATATTCCAATTCAAGTGTGATTTCAAGTGTGATATGTTATGCTTCTGCGACACCTTTCGAGCATTTTATTTTAGTCCATTAAGACATAAGTGTAGCTGGTCGTGCAGCTTTTCCTCATCTCAATAATCTCGTTTTGCGTTCATACAGCAAAAAATCCTCTGTCAAGACTCCCATCTGCAGCTATCAAGGGTATGAAGAATCTGGAGGAGTTCTATTCTTCACAGTGCAATCTGGGTCCAACTCTTTCAAGAGGTGTCCTGGAATTCCAGAGCAAGGCTTTGAAACTTATTACTCTCTCGGGCAACAATATCTCCAAACTTGATGAAAGAGCCATCACAGGTATGATTCCTCATTAGATCAGGTCCTGGAGAATACCCACCTCATCGCCATCATAAAAACTGGCTAGGACTTATCATCCATGAGGTGCATATTGTGACGTTTCAAATGGAAAGCCAAACTTGCTGGTCCACATTCATTAGGCACCTCGTTGTACGTCGTAGGAACTAGAAACTCAAATTTCCTCCGAAAATTATTCCATAAATCAATGCATTAGTGATAGAGCCCTCTATTGGATGCGACCTGTTAATACGAGTGAATTTTTGAAATGGTATAATGACTCATGAGACACCCTTTATAAGAGCTTGTGCGACGCAGTAGATAACTCCACTTCTTCCCGCTTTGGACAATGAAAGTAAATTTTGGCATTTCACCTCTGGGTATTTAGAAGAACAACAAATGCCAACGATATCTTGATATTGCCTCCCAATGTCCAACAAAGTTGAGATCTCTGGATGAGAGAGTTTTCGAACTTCATCAGGCGTATATGATAGCTGGGAAAAAAAACTATTGTATCATGAGAAACTCAGGACAAAGAGAGACATTTTCGGTGAAGATAATGGATTCCTTAAGCATCGACATCGAAATAAAAGTGTCAAAGAACCACATGTCTCACGCAACACGGACAGCAGACATGCAGAGGTCTTCTTAAATCGAGCAAGGCCCATCCAGGTTGGCCTACGACCACCTAATGGCAACTATTATCTTTAAGTAATAAATTTATATTTTTTAAGCAATGGAGGGAGAAATTCCAGCAATACAATGGCACATTTCATTTTTTTTTATCAACCTCGGCCGGTTTCGCCCTTTCCATCTTGACAGCGTCCTCAATCGACTAAAGTAACATTTTTGGGTCGATTTGAAGAAAACATTTCTTGAGATCATGATCATGATTAACTTTGCAAAAGCGAAGAATATTTTTTACGAGTTCATGATGTACACTCGCGAAGTCGTCAATTCACAGTAGGAAAAGCTAATGTGAGTCAACTAATTCAAATTGAATTGTTTTCATGCTTCATTTCTAAGTTGTGAATCTTCGCACATTTTTCCGTTATTGTCGTCATTATGAATTTTTTTTCACTTCTCAAAAATCATTCCAAATGCCCAAACTTTTTTTAATCTAGTTTCTTACTAAGTAATCCTCGTGTTGCAATAACCATAATCTTATACTCACAAAAGCTTAAGATTTTCTCATGAAGTCAGCCGAATATCTCATGATGAAATCCTGGTGATATAATCATTCACGAGGTCACGAGATTCACGACTGCAAACTATCAAGTCCGTGGAAAGCTCGAAAGGAGCTTTTGAGGGTTCTAATTAGTTCATCGCATGACGTTTTTTATTTGCATACCAGGTCTTGGACCGAATACCAAGGTTCAACTAACCAACAACGAAATTGTCATTTTGTCTAAGGAGAGCTTCCGCCCGATGTTGGACATCCTCTCTACAGGAAATGGAGTCCTCTATCTAGACGGTGAGTTTCACGGTTTCTTACCATTGCAGATTATGTTGGGTTTCTTTCTCGCTTTGTTCATATGCGTAATTGCATTTTGTCTCCTGTTTCTATTCCAGGCAATCCTATCCGATGCGATTGTGACGTAGCATGGCTGGTTCTGAATCCGAAATTTCTGAAGAGCATTTCTGGGGAGTGTCAAAATGGAACCAAATTCAAGGATTTAGATGCATTTGTTATGAAAGACTGTTATCGCCAATCGGGCTTGCCAACACTCACAAATCAAGGTGACGTCTCCTGTTGCTTTCATTCTTTCACTGTATGGTGCCTATAAGGTTTCCCGACTTTTTTTCGTGCGAAGCTCGGGTTGAAATGGACTGTTCGGGCTTTTTTTGGCATTTTTTGTGGAATTTTTTCAGAGTTAAGAGTTAATCCTTTGCGGATCAACCTCATCCCAGGGATGAAATTAATAAAACTGCAATTTGGTCCTATCTCATCGCCAGGATGAAGAAACTTACACGCGATCTCTCAGGTCCTATATCATCTGTAGGATGCGACGCAACGTTTATTTAACATCGTTACTCAGGTCCTTAATTGAAACCGCGCTGTTATTGTTTACATAAGACCAGTTTATCCAGGAAAGCGCCTTCGAGAGCGTTGGGTTTGGTCTGCGAAACTTAAAAATAATAGAACTGCAAAGTATTAAGGCAGCTGCACGTTTCTGAGATAAGGGAGAGTGTCTCCTCTTCCCTCAATCTTGCTGGCTTCGAAAAGAACGAAAAAATAGCGTTTCTTGGAACTCCTTATTCCTTATTATTATTAACCCCGGGACAGTAGAAATCAAAGATTGATTAGCCGTTAGGAATATGGTCGGGCGGCGAATATCTTTCATATTCGCTTCAATTACAACTAAAACATGTGAAGCATGCATTTGGGAGAAAATGCCCCGACAACAAAATTCTACCGAAAATGGAGCTACAAATTATTTCTCACTTATAGAACAACGGCCATCGGTGCAGAGCAGACAGCGTAGTGGCCGAACCTGCTAGATCGCGCCGCCGACGACAAGGCACATTGCCAGTGGATTCGATGAAACCATGAGACAACGGAGAAGAAACTAGAGCAAACGTTTCTTCAAGATAGGTCAGCACGTGTCCTTCTGGACGGTATAATGCCAGCACAAGTGGATGGGCTAGCAGAATAACTTGCCACATGCGATGTCAAGGTGGACACAGAATCATTAAGATGTCCAGTAGGTAATTCAGTATAAGAGCGACGATTGGAGCCGAACAGTATTCACCGACGAGACCGCCTACCGATTATACAGAAATTCGATTCGTCGATGGTCAAAGAATCCAAGAGGCGAGGTCGAACGAGTCTCGAAGGGAAAAAAAATAAGATAATGGCTTGATTGCCATGGGGCTAGTCGGCTGTCATCCTCGAGAGAGAATTATGAATTGGCCTTTCTACGTTCTTCCTTCGAGATCACCTCATCCGTGGCGGCAGCAGGTAGTTAGGTCGACGCTGGCGACTTCAGCAAGACAACGATCCCAATCACAGAAGTCGAATGGCAAATTTCTTACTCGAAGAAGTACCCGAAACGACCGAACGGTTGCCGAACAGTCCTGATTTCAATCCATTTGAGAACCTCTAGTCATCCCTCAAATAGCGTGTCGAGAAGTGGAAACAATCAAATATTGATGAACTGGGCACATTTCTGCACGAAGAATGGGACGGAATTGACTTGGCGAATCTAAATATTTTGTTGAAGTAAGTGAAAGCGCGATTTTGGCTTTGAATAACTCGAAGGGGGAGAGGATCAGCTATTGATTGTGGTACTTTTTTATCTTGTCCAATGCCTTATCTTTGGTGAAATTGGTTTCCTTATTCATACCATTCGTCCTGAGAAATGCTTGAAAAACTGGGGGCAGAGGCTTTCTCACCTTAGTCAAGGTACTCGGATTTCGATAGAGTAGAAAATTATTTCGCCATGCACGCTCGTTCGGAAATTTGGAATTGTGTCTTCCTATTCATCAAAATTTGGATTTTGTCTTTAATATCCGTTAACATGCCCATTTTCCTCCGAGCTATCATATGTCGATGTCGCAAAAAACTCTTCATGGCAAGGAAGAGTCACATTTTCAGCCCTCAAACTTTCTGAGGTACACATGAATTGCATTCACTTCATGCATAATACAGCCCCTTATTGAAATGTATTCATGGGTTTTGCCATAAATAAAAGAGAAAATGCAAAATATATTCAAATATACCAATTTTAGAGAGGGAAAGACAACCCAACTAAAACGTTGAATGGTCAAAGGTCCATGAGTCCTTCAATTCCCAGTAAAACCCACAGCACACAAAAAAGGAAAAACATGCAGATACAACTAATCGGAACACCAGGCAAAATCACACACGTTTTATGAATCGAATTCACTAGATTCATTCATTGTAGTTACGGTCATAGCAACTCTGATATCGTTTTCCATCAACAGGCGGAATGATCGGATGCAGACAACTCAGCAGCATTGAACATGGATCCTTCACTATCGAATCTTGTGCCAGTCCATCGGAAAAGACTGCCGAAAGAAACAATGAAAATTGCATTCAAAATGGAAACTATGCAGTTTGGAGCATCGTCAGATACAGATGCGATAAATATTATGAACTGCAGGGACCGGAATTCAGAAGATGTGAGGAGAGTGGAGAATGGGCCGGACCCACCCCGTTTTGTAAGCCAGGTTGGTTTCTTTTACAACTATATTCCCTGTATACCTGAAATAACTCTTCTATATCTGAATGCCTGTGATTTGTACCATTCTATACGCAGTATGCGGGAAGAAGGAAAGTCAAATTCAACTATCAGCAGGAGGAAACCCATCTGAAATCGGAGAATGGCCATGGCAAGCGGCCATTTATGACCTCACGAAGAAAGATGTCATTTGTGGAGGGGCTCTCATTAACGAACGATGGGTGTTGACAGCGGCCCATTGTGTCGTTGTATTAGGTTCCCTCAGAACTCGAAACAAACATGACATTTTGGTCCACCTAGGGAAACACTATCGACTCGATGTCAGGGACGAGTACCTGCAGATCCGACAGGTTCAGTGATCCTTACGTTCTCGCACATATATCGATTCTATTCCTCGTGACGAAAACTGACACGATCTCCTTGCAGGTATCTCATATAATCTTGCACAAGGACTTCAACGTACATAATGACTATGACTCGGACATAGCCCTATTGAAATTATCAAGACCTGCCGTGCTGACTGCGCGAGTTCAGTTAGTATGTCTCCCTATCCGATTTGATTTATCTGAGGTCAACCTCAACAGCGGAGGGAATGGATGGGTAAGAAACATGAAACATTTTAACACATTGAGGACCGGATGAATACGTGCTATTATAGTTATCGGTCATACGCAAGAAAACGATTAAACATGTGATCCGTCCTCAGTGTGTTAATACCTCGACCTAAAACTAATTTCAATGTTCACATTGCAACCTCTCTTCTTCGATTGCTTGATGATGCAGGTGGCCGGTTGGGGTTATGACAGTTTGGATAACCTCACAGCTGTCCTGACGGAGATTCAACTACCCGTGATATCCAATCCTAAATGTGTTGTGGACACCGTTAATTTCACGGGAGACCCCAGCATCACTCGTACCATCACCATAAATATGTTCTGCGCTGGTTTTTCCGTGGATACTCCTCTCGAAGGTATGGCCTCAAGATCCATGTTAGAAATTCTGTATTTACGTAAGACTCTAACTGTAATCTCAAAGAGGATTAAGGTGTACGTACGGTATGCGTAACATATTTTGGGAACGTGCAATCGCCGGTGCCCACACTTATACGGGTACGAGCGGACGTAGGCGCTACCTGCCCGAGTATTGAAGCCAAGGACGCATGACACGCAAAGTGGGAATCGCCGCGAGAATCCTATGATCCGATTTATAATGTGAAGCCGAAGTTTGTTTTCCCCTTCGAGTCCAGAATTCCTGTTGCGAATGTTTTCTGCTGCTTTACCTAGGGGATTTATAAATGGCACTTCCAAGGAATCCATCACATTGCAGGAATTGCAGAAGTCTATAGTTTCCACTATGAAGGGAGTTGCATCATCCGAGCATAACATCGCAACTTTATTGCCACTGCATTGCTCGAAATTCCCTGGAAAGTGTTATTATACTGTCGGCGCATTACAGTACTCGTGGATCGATTGCATGTGGGAAGAGCCCTTGCTATATAAGGAAGAACAGACAGCAAATCAGCCGGTAACTTCCGCCACGACTTGTGAAAGTGGTGAAACCTCAGGGGTGAAACTAGTTACAATTCTACACCCAAAAGCCTTGTACTTCATATAATGTCCATGTTTCTTTGAGGGCAGCTTGTCCATGCAACAAGGGAAAACTTAAATTCCAGAGCAGTTCTTGTAATTCCCTGATTATTTTTAATTGAATGATACTTCCTATTAATTTCTTTTAGTGATGAATGAAGGGAAAAAAACAATAATAAAGATAATTATTATTGCACAGATTTAGCTTGTCACACAGGACCCCTGAGACCCTCAGGGAACCAGAAGGAGAGGTTATGTAGTGACCTGTCGGTGACCTGCCACCTTCCCTAGCACTCAGTAAAAAAGGTCCTTCCATGAACAAGGTACTCGCGCCCTGGACAGTATGGCATTTTCACCAGAGTCAATAGGTGAGATCGGGTCATTGCAACCCAATTATATGATTCGCATCCTTGTCCTCCCTTCCTATCTAAAATACGTTTTTATTTCCTTCCCTTTAGGTTCATCCAGTGGATCAACGGTAACTTATCAACTCAGTAGTTATACTTATTAGCTTTTGACGAATCAAAATTTGTTCAACTTGATGCTAATTTTGAACAACTGAAAATGAAATAACTTTGTCAACGAGTTTTCTGCATTCTTTTCCAATGCACACACGCCCATTTAAACGCATGTTTGCCTTGCATCCACGTATACATGTACACATATCCATGTGTTCAGTCATACCATGCATTTCAGTCACGAGACTGGTCGAACCAATTGGTTGCTGACTGCAGTACTTGCAGACCGACTCAAGCTGGGATTGCTTCTGCCTTGGTATTGCCTTATCTATTCAATCATAGAACTTCGGGAAGTAGCACGACGAACAAGCGACGTCGATTTTATCGACAAATCGAATTTGGAGTTAAACCTTTATAGCTGTAGCACCTAACGGCTGAAACAACTCGGGATAGGGTTCTATTAGTCGCCCTTGCGTTCTCATGATGACGTAGGGTGTTTGGTAATTTCCTAGGATGGACTCTTTCCCTTTAATTTTCCATGTTTTGACGTCTTTAAGGCGGGGAGGGGGAGTTCTACCCTTCTTGAAAAATGAGATAGGGCGAAGGTGTTGCTTAGATCTCGCCTAGCGTCTCCCCGCCCCTTTCCCCTCAGGGCTCACTCCGAAGGAAAGCATTTCTTAAAAATCCTTCTACCTCCATCGAGTCTCTTATCCGCTCGTGGAGAAGGAACGCGAGGACATCTTACTCCCATGACTTTGCAGCCACGTAAAACCAAGCATCATCCATTAGACCAATTGGTACGTGACACAAGGTGACAGCTCTGCGGAAATGGTCTTTCAGCAAAGACCTTGGATTTTCTTATGCTTTTGACAGCCTCAGACTCAATCTTTCGAAACAAAGCTTGTGCAAAATGAAACTTGCATCCGTGCACCACAATTCCAGGGAGCACAATCTGAAGAGCAGAAATGAGCGCCATCTCGAAATCGCACATTACCTCCTTTGGCTCATATGTCAGATCCTCTGAAAGTCCCCAGTGAGCAAAGCTTGAGGTTCTCAAGAACCTCAAATCGGGTAAAGGCACCAGTTTGTGGACAGGTAATGGGAATTTTCCTCTTGAAAATCGTGTTACGGTCGTTGGGGTAACCGACAAACTGCTTGATTGGTTTCAATAGGAGGCCATTTATCATAGTTTGATGCCCATACCCTAAAGTAAAATATTAAAAATATACTTTCCAACAATCGCTGTTTAAATGGATGTGTTGAATTTCACGTGGTTCCTATTTGTGGACGGCCTGGTTCCAGCTTGTGGACATCCAAGGACCTAGTTTGTGGACACCAGTTTTTTTAAACAATTATGAACGTGCGTACGTCGAATGGAAAAATATGGGCATGAGACAGGTACAGAAAGTATATTTATCTTCAATGATGTCCTGTTAAGAAATATTGGTAAAAA